TTAAAATTATCAATCACCATAGTATACTTACTTAAATTTTTTTTACAGTATCACAAAATCTCCAAGGGAACATATGTATTGAGATTGAGAAAAAAAAACATTTCTGATTTCGCAGCACCACAGTAGAAAAATAAACTACATCCTTGCCATTTCATGCTGAGCTGGGACGGATATATTTCCACTTGTGGCGCTGCAAAATCAGAATAAAAATGTTATCAATCATCACCACAAAAAGTCATTGGCAAGATGATGGCAAAATGGCTTAAACCATTTTAATGTGAGAATATAAATAATGTTTACACAAATATACAATCTACATAAACACTGGGAGAGTAAAAAGATTTGACTGCGTTATTATGTGCAACCTCTACATTACCTGACTCAAGAAATTTGCTACTGAAGAACATCCACAATTTCCCCTTAGGAGTGTTTGGTTCTTGGTACGACCATGTCAATGGATGGTGGGAGAAAAAACAGACTTATTCTAACCTACTGTACATGTTCTTTGAGGATATGGTTGAGGTAAGTTCAGTATATAAAATGACATTTTTAGCAAACATATTAGCATAAAATCAGAAAGGTATGTTAGATGTGTATGTTTTCCTCAGGACACTGGACGTGAGGTGGCTCGTTTGTGCTCCTTCTTGGGTTTGTCCACTTCAGCTGAACAGAAGGAGAAAATAACAAAAGGGGTTCAGTTTGATGCCATGAAACAGAACAAGATGACCAACTATTCCACTCTCCCAGTCATGGACTTCAAGATCTCACCCTTTATGCGGAAAGGTTAATAAACTACTAAATTTAAGTACTTTAGTCCTTCTGAATTCAACCATTTCACTTACTTTTATCTTCTTCTTTTTCATTCCAAAAGGTAAAGTTGGAGACTGGAAAAGTCATTTCACTGTGGCACAAAATGAACAGTTTGATGAGGTCTACAAACAGAAGATGAAGAACGCCACTGTCAAGTTCCGCACTGAGATCTAATATTAGAGAGTTCTGGATCCTGCACCAGAATAAAAATTGAATGATAAATAAATAATCAGTTGTCTGACTTAAGCCTAAATTTGGCTCCTCTGTTTTGAGCCATTCACAGGCTGATTTTTTACATGAAACCAGCAGAAACACTTAACATACAATAACTTTCAATAAAACAAAAAATCATTAACAAACAATATATAATGTTTAACGGATCATTAGTTAACATATATTCACATAGGTAGAAATATGAGATAATGTGCTTTTTAATGCTTACTAATGAACTTAACATATAATGATTAACAGATCATTATTTAATGTAAACTCAAATGCTTACAAATTTCATTAAACTTTCAATTGATGTGATCATGCACTTCTTGAAAATCTAATTTAATTTGACAGATGGTTTACAATGATTAAAAGCTTCGTTAATGAATCATTAACTTAATACACTTGACTGAACACTTCATTTCTGGCAATATTGTTGACTTGATTGCACAGACACTATTTGAAGAGAACGGAACTGTGCTGGACAGAACAGATCATTAATGGATCATTATGTAATGTAAACAAAATGCTTACAAATGTCATTAAACTTCCAATTCATATGGTCATGTTATACAAAGATTTACATTTAAATGCTAACACATGTAATTAAACTTCAATTCATAAAATACCCAATGCAATTTTTTACATTTACAAATGTTGTGGGGAAAAAAAAAAAGTTGAATTAGTACTATTAAGCACTTCACACACTATTCATGTTAACACATTATTCACATTTTGTTTGTTGTAGTGTGAATCCAGACTTCTGCTATTTACACATCTTAACAAATAATTTACTATTTGTCCAGTTGTTCATGTTTTTGCAGTACTCAATTGTTGAAAAATAAAAAATAATTTTTTACTAATCATTCAGTACCTTTATGGACATTTGACTTTTAGCTACTGTTACAACGTCTGTGTAAAGGGTGGTCAGTTTAGGGAAATACTTGCTAAAAACATGACAACAACACATAATTGTTATTTGGGTGCAAAACGTGTTTTTATTGCCTTAACACTTAGCATATTATCCTTAGGATATTCTTTGAACCATACAACAACTAACCCACTGGGTAAAATAAAACGATGCTTGTATTGTGTTGTAATACATCCTGCTTGGGTCAAGTGCAGGTGAAAGGACTCACCAGACGACAAGGAAAACCTGCAAATAATAAGGAATTTTCTAAATTATTACCAGATCAAGAGAATTAAAGTAAGTCAAATTTGTAAACTTTATTATTATTATTATTAATGTCATAAATTCCAATAATGTCTGTATGTACAAACCATTTCTACCATGATTTCTGAACAGCTTAAAGTCTAACAAATAAGTGTTTTTCACACAAGGGGAAAAGTCGTGGCCTAATGGTTAGAGAGTTGGACTTGTAATCCAAAGGTTGTGGGTTAGAGTCTCGTACCAGCAGGGATTGTAGGTGGAGGGAGTGAATGTACAGCGCGCTCTCTCCCACCTTCAATACCACGACTGAGGTGCCCTTGAGCAAGGCACCGAACCCCCAACTGCTCCCCGGGCGCCGCAGCATAA